CGGTGTCAAACCTCGACATAGAGAGCAAGCTGTCGGTTCACTATCAGGCTCCATGGCACCAGCAGCACAATGTATTTCATCCTTGCACCCGACCGCCGTGTCTGGAGGAGCTGCACAGAAACGCTCAGCTCAGTCTCAGAGCTCTGCACCGAGGTGAGAGAGGCAAAATCAGGGGCAAAGTTGCATTATGTACAAAGTATGGATTGGAAATTTGTACTCGTGTGTTCGGTTTTCACAGACGAACAACAGCGGCAGCGGTCCACGAGTCGGGAGAGAAACAGGGTGACCATCTCTATCTCAGTGGCGCCCCCCATGCCCACCTTCCCTTCGCCCCACACCATCCGGCGGCAACAGAGGAGTCGCCTGGCAAGAGCGGTAAGGACTCACTGAGAGTAACATGAACTAAGAGTATGTTACGTTTAACAAACAGGGTGGAGTTAAGATGCGGTTCACCGTAAATGACAGCAACTACGCCAGGGACTTCCCTTGCTTCATAAATCCTCGTTTAGGACTGTGCATCTTATCAGTGGTCAGTTAATATCTGTAGCAAAAGTTGTGATAAAATTTGGTATTTGGCATCAGTATCTCCAAGATTCTTCTTCAGTCAAATGCATGTATTTTGATATTGCACCTTAACACTTATTGTTGACTCCTGTAAAACAAAATAAAAGGAGATAATATTTTCATATACTTACAGTGTCAGAGTTCCACCTCCCTCCACCCATCTTTTGATTGCGATTCCTATGCAACACAAGTAATCAAACACACAATAAAGGAAGTTAGAGATTAATTAGATTGATATAATTTTTGCTGCAATCACATATTTTTATAGCGTGATAAAATTATCATTGTGAGTTATTTTGGCCATGATAGTTGTGTAAACCAGTCTTAAAACAATTCTGCCGTGTGGCTCCAAGTAGGAGAAACTACTCCATGCTCTGAACCAATATAATGTTTGCATTTGTGAATGTTGTGTGTGGAGCTCAGATGCAACAGATCCACTTGTCAAATCAGTAACAGTTTTGACAATTTTGAAAACATAGCTTTTAAGGGAACTAAAAAAAACTCCTAATAGAACTCTCAGGTCAGCTGATAAGTCTAGTTGTCCCTAGAAGCAGGCTAAAAACCAGAGGAGATCGGGCCTTTGCGATTGCTGCACCCAAACTTTGGAACAATCTGCCTCTTGAAACTAGGATCTCTTCATCACTTGACATTTTTGAAAACCCGTTCAAAAACACATAATTTAATTGTGACTGAGTTTTGTTCTTTGTGTGTGTTTGATCTACTTTTTACTTTTTTGTCATGAACCGGGCCTTACAGTCATGACAACAACAAAAAAAAAATCCAGACATGGTTAGGAATGTATTCCAAGCTGCTTTATTCTTTTAAATAAATAAAACAGAAAAGAAACCCTACTGTCAAAAACAAACAGTGGTAAGTGTAATCAGTACCATCAGTAGTGTGTGAAGGGATGTATGAGTGGAAGATGATGCATCTAATAGTGTCAAAAGTAAAACACCAAACCTACCGCAGCCAAAGTCCAACCTGGTGTCTCAGAGCCAACCAAAACTATGCCCTAAAGGCTTTTTATATAGAGTCCTGGCACACTGGCCCAGGTGTTGCCAGTGTCACTGATTGTAAACGGGAACTCTGCCTCTCCAGTGCCTGCAAACAAGACACACATGAGCCAAAAGGAAGGCAGGGTGCAGTGGGTCATCACAACTATGTACAGCACTTTGGTCAACCTTTGTTGTTTTTAAATGTGCTCGTAAATGGCCTGTATTTGTATAGCGCTTTACTAGTCCCTAAGGACCCCAAAGCGCTTTACACTACATTCAGTCATTCACACACTGGTGATGGCAAGCTACATTGTAGCCACAGCCACCCTGGGGCGCACTGACAGAGGCGAGGCTGCCGGACACTGGTGCCACCGGGCCCTCTGACCACCACCAGTAGGCAACGGGTGAAGTGTCTTGCCCAAGGGCACAACGAGACTGTCCGAGCCGGGGCTCGAACCGGCAACCTTCCGATTATGAAGACGAACTGCCAGCTCTTGAGCCACGATCGCCAACATAAATATTTATAAATAAATTGATTGATTGATATGAAATTAGAAAATTGCTTACTTTGAATTCTGTGTACAGGTGACAATAAGCTGCTTAGATAAACTTAAAGTGTTTCCTTAACTGGTTCAAATTGTCGTGTGGTGCTGTTTGCACAACTTTTTGTTGGTTTTTATGAAATCTGTACTTCGTGTCTTCCAATAAAATGATAAAATATCTTATTCTAACTTTTGCATGCAGCAAGAGAGAGCAGAAAGGGAGCGAGACTTAGACTATCAACCCAGGAAGGTAAAACAGAAATTTGTTTGTGATTTTTCTATTGACACATGCTAATGTGAAATTTATGTTATATGCACATTTGTGCACAGTTAAGGCTGTGTGTCTGGAACTACATGTTATCATGCTACATCTTTTATACCACTTCTATTTTTTTAATTGCTTTGGAACTTTTTTGTGTAGAGGTTGTGTGTTTTTAATTACACTCGCTCTACTCTTTCTTGTTTTGAAAACTCTTGAAGGAGAGGCCTGTGAAAGAATCAGAAATCCAGACCATACAGAGAAAAGTAAGAAAGAACATTTACACTTGGCCAAAAATTGATCAGTTTCAGTCCTGACAGACTTTACAACATTTGCCTGTGTGTGTAAAAAAAATGCTTGCTTTTATGTGCGTGTTTCTTTCTACTACAGGAGAGGCCAAGAGAAGCAGATGTTCAGACGATCCAAAGAAAGGTAAGAAAGATGTGTCAGAGTGGCATACCTGACATCTGATGTCAAATATTTGTACACCGTTTTTTTTCTTTTCTTTTTTTTTACAGCTTTTATGTTAGGAGATAAATGCAGGATTGTTACTATATAACATATGTTAAAAAAATTTCCTGGGTTTTGGGTTGAAGAACAGGAACATGTAGCAGCATCGATTAAATATCTGTTGGGGAGAAAAGGTTGAAAAGAGTGCACCGCCTTGTTCAGTTGTCACCTTTTGATTTTCCTTTAATCTTTTTTATGTGGAATTACTTTAAATCTTTTGGATTTCACATGTCACTTCATCGACTTAATTAATTTATTTTTTGTTATATTTTGTGTTCTTAGTTTGAGTGCTTTTACTCACTTCACCCTATTGAAAGTTGCATCTTCATTCCATGGAATAGAAAGGTACCAAGCTTTTTCGTTTTGATTTCTTTTTTTAATCTTCCTATCATATTACTTGTTTAGTAGTTTGAGTCATTCAGCTACAGCTTTCAGTGTGGAGTACTTTGAATTAGACTTAGCTATTGCATAGATTCATTGGACACATCATTACGTACGCCTTACTAGTACTGGATTGGACACTTTTCCCCTCAATTCTTCATATCATAGATTCAACATGGTGCTGGAAACATTGTTCAGAGGTTTTGGTCTGACAAGATAAACTCACAGTTGCTACAGATTTGTCAGCTACATATCCAGGATGTAAATCTTCTGTGCCACCACCACATCCCAAAGGTGATCTATTAGAATGAGATCTGATGACTGTGGAGGTCATTTGAGTACAGTGAACTCACTGTCATGTTCAAAAAGCCAGTTTGAGATGATTGGCGCTTTGTGACATGATATGTTATCATGCTCAAAGCAGCCACCAGAAGATGGGTACACTTCTGTGACCAACAACCAAACCACATTCAAAATCACTTCCCCATTCTGATTCTTGAATTTCATCTCTGTTGGGTAATTTTGACAATGTCTACAAACCTAAATATCTTGAGTTGCTGGCATGTGATTGGCCGAATAGATATTTGTGTCATTCATCATTTGAACAAAGTGTACCTAATGAAGTGTCCATGAGTGTATATGATATTGTTAGAAAAATTGTAAAAAAAAAAAAAAATTCACCTCACCAATGTAAGTAGTTACTGTTAATCTGTAACTTTCTCAAATTAAATCCTAACGCACATTTAATGCTGCCAATATCTGCCTGTTTCTTACAGGCTACCTCTACAGGGGAAGGTGAAGGCGGTGAGGTCTTGGGAAGCAACAGAGCCCAGGCCTCAGCCCCCAGTGCACCTTCAACCCAGGATAAGCAGACAAACTGGTCAAAGGAAAACGTCCCACCATCAGATCACAAGTCATCTGGCGATTCTCATGCTATCTCTTCCTGTATCATCCCGATCAATGTCACAGGTAAGTTAAAGAAGAAAGAGAAAATAAAGTTGAAAAATAAACAGCATTTAAATCAGTTGATAATCTGAAACATATAATGCACAGGCCTTATTCGGTATGTGCTACAGCTCATTCATGGGCTGTTACTGTTAAACATATCTGTTCTGTTATTTGTAAATGTTGGGATCATAAGCTTTAATAGCTTAAGCTCTATTTAAGAACTACATACAAACTACATAGTTACTAGTAAATATGAATTTCAACACTGTTTTAAAGTACACGTTTGAACAGTCACTAAAAGAGGAAAGGGCAGTACTTTTACCATTTGCAATAGGTCAAACGCTTTAAACCGCACATTAATAGCAATAATAGGAACTTTTAATTGTAAGCACAGAAATTAAGATGCAACTGAAGTGGCAAAGAAATATATTGCCTCAAAGAAAAGAACAGCCAAACCTGCTGTTTGCAGCAACTACTTGCGGCCTTTTACAACTATCACGGTTCTTTGGCCATACCATGCACATGTCTGGAAAGATTCCCCTTACTCTGCAATCTGTTGTGACCATCGCTCACCCATAGTTAATGGTATAGAATCGTACCGGATAGAAAATAAAAACTTGACAATTCTTATGGCTTAAACTCTACGGTGACTATTAAAACGCAGGTGTAAGGAGCATATGAACGTGCAAATGTTAGATTCTATTTACATGCATAGAAAAGGTGTAACTGGCCTCGATTGTGCAGTTTCTATATACACATACACAGAAAAAGAAACAGTGCATTTTATTTGAAGTAAATATTCTAATCAATTGCCATATAGATGTTGTGAATCTTGGTACCCTAGGCAGTTTATAGGGTAAGTTTAATCAAGATTGAACCAGTCATCTTGGAGGACTTCAGGAACAAACATACAGCCTACGCTAAAATCATTATAGCACGATGATGATGACTTTTACTGGCCTTTGTCAGGACGCAAACAGAGACTTTCTCATCTAGATATTCCCGAACCTGGGATCATACCAGATAGTTTCTTTAAAAAGATTATTAAACAACATTTTATATATACATTGTTGTTATTACAGGAGTTGGGTTTGACAGGGAAGCAAGTGCTCGATGCTCTCTAGTCCATTCTCAGTCAGTTCTTCAGAGGAGAAGGAAGCTAAGGAGGAGGAAAACCATAACAGGAATACCCAAAAGAGTACAGCACGATATGGGTATGTTATAATAAAATCCTTCTCACATAGTATTTTACTATACTATGTATTTTTGTACTTTTGGCAATAAAAAAGATGACATGTATTTTTTGCAAACAGCTAATTTGGTTCTCCATTTTTAAAGAGGCTTAAATGTGAATTATTTTGATCATGAGTTAAAAAACTTCACAATTATGTGTAAAGTTTAAAGATGCGAGCCAAAAGGATATTAAAAAACAAAGTTGTTGTTTATTTAAGGGTTCGTCTTCCTGCGGGGTTGTTTGTGGATATCACATTCTGAAGAAAAACTCAGATGAAAAAGTTAGCGCAGGATATTTCCGAAAGTAAAGACACTTTGATTCTTTGCTTTCAGATTCCGATGAATCACCTGTGGCAAGAGAGCGCACAGTGATTATCCATGCCAATCCACATCAACTCTCGCTCTGTCAGGAAGAACTCTCAGTCAGTGGTCGCCTCCATCACACTCGTGACTCTGGCTGCCAGACAGATGATTTTCTTATAGCATGTAAGTTTCTGATACTGGAGGAGGTTCTTTAGGGTGAGCACTTTTACCACACATTACAGCACGGTTCCTCCTTGATTAATCTACTCTGTTTTCAAAGACCCTCTAGATCCCATTGCATGAAAATTATCTCGAAGCTGCTTATCTACTTTCATCCCTAAACTTGATTAATTGATCTGGAATTATAATTAATTCTTTTTTGCAGTTACAATCTACAGGCCACATGCATTAAGAAATATCTCCATCTGTTCCCCTCTCTCTTTTCTGTTTTTTCATTTTCAGGTACAGCTGCTCCCTCCAGAAGGCGTATTAGAGCTCAGCGAGGCCATCAGGGAATTCCTGCCTCTTTGTCCCATTCAACAGGAAATATTTCTTCTCTTGGTGACCAATCAGACTCAACATACACCACAGCCACATCCCATGGTGGGCGATTGCGCTCCCGTAGCCTTCCACGAGAGGGTGGACGTCTGATGGATAGTGATGAGGATGACGATGACAATTATGACGATGATGATGAGGATGAAGAATTGTCACCTTACGAAGCAGAGGACTTTATTCCAGCTGGCCCCAGTCCAAGAATGAAGATGATGATGATGAAGGATGAAGAGGAGAGCACAGATGACCAAGCAGCTCCAGAGCCGCTACAGCTTGGAAGCCTAAAAAGGCTGCAGCGAACTGGGGAGAGAGACAGAGGAGGTGGAGGAGGTGGAAGCCCAGAGCATAGCTGGATGGAGAGGGGTCGTTCACGGTTACCACGCAAGGCTGACATGGGCAGCTGCGAGATCTCGTCAAGCTCAGATACGTTTAGTAGCCCTATTCATTCAGTGTCTACAACAGGAGTCTTAGGCAGCCATGTGGATCACAAAGAAGACCACCAGTCATCCAGCGGGAACTGGAGTGGTTCTAGTTCTACCTGCCCCTCACAAACATCTGAAACCATCCCGCCACCCTCTTCTCCACCCTTGACAGGCTCATCCCACTGTGATTCAGAGCTGTCACTCAACACCGTGCCCAATGCTATTGATGAGGGATTCTCCCTCGATCCCTCATATCACTCTGACCTCAGACCCCAAGGCCAGGGTCACAGATCAAGCTCATTCACATCCTCAGCCACAGACCAGCTGGATGATGCAGGGGTCAGTACAGCCAGTGAAGGAGAGTGGACATACCCTCCAGACCAAGATCAGACTGACCAAGATCAAGACCCTGACCAGACCCAAAACCTGAGCCAGAGCCATGGGGTAACCCAAGAGTACAGCTCTAAACATAGCCTTGAAGACCAAGCTGGCTTCAGTGACAAAACGAGCAACACTGAAACAGAGCCTGGCTCTCATTACCCATCTGATACAGAAGGTTTCTATTCCTCCTCTGTGCATATCAGAGAGTGTAATCAGAGTTATAGAGGATACATGTATAACTATGCAGACCAAGGGCCTGACTGTGGTCAGTCCAACACTGTGGCAGCACCACTATCACATGGAGTTTACCCTGAGCCCTCAGCTGACTTCAGAGCAGGCACTCTAACCCTGGGGAGGACATCTCGTTCATTAAGGAAACCGAAAGTCAAACCTCCACCACCCAAACGAACCTCCTCACTAAAGGAACCCAGTGGTAGTGTTGATGTCGGAACGGACACACAGGCAGATCAGGATCAACCAAAGATGGTTATTGAGCAGGAGCTTACTTTGTCTTCCACAGATATGAAGCTGGAACTGGACCTAGAGCTTGGAGTTGCTCCAGAACCATTACAGACATCCTGTTTAGTGGCAGAGCCTTTGGGAACATGGGGAATGGGACTGGGGGAAACCGTGGACATAGTAGAGCCCATGTCTTTCAGCTCTGCAGATACACACTCATTTAAAGATGAAGGTGCTGTGCAATCTGACTATGCAGACCTTTGGCTTCATAACAGTGAACTGAAGTCCAACAATGGTGAGTACACATCCATGTCCAACTCAAGCACCGCCACAGGCACTACTGTCATGGAGTGTATCAAGTCACCAGACAGCTCTTCCTCTTCCACAGAAACCCAAACCCAGGCCCCTACCCAGGCTTCAGACACCGTGGCAACTAGTTCACCACTCCCACCTGAAGACTTCAAACTAGGGTCTCCTGAGAAACTGGCTGGTCTGGCTTCACCATCAAGTGGTTATTCCAGCCAATCAGAAACACCTACATCAACCCTGCCCACATCTTCGGCAGCATTTTTCCCAGGACCATTGTCTCCTTCAACTGGCAAGAGGAAGCCCAAAGTGCCAGAGAGGAAGTCTTCTCTCGCTTCCCTGCAGCATTTCCCCAGAGATGGAGCTTCCATTTCCTCTTGCTATAAGAGAGACCCAGACTTTCCACCTCCACCTTCTCAGCTGGATCTCAGTATCCTTCATGGTGGCTATGTCAGACACACGTTATCCCACCGGACTTACCACATGCACACATTGCACCATAGCAAACACAGAGCTGCAAATGTTTTAGCCACTGGCACAAAGTTGTTGGCTCCTGAAGCATCAAATACCAACCCACCACCAAGTTCAAACTCTACATTAACAATTCCTAGTTCAAATCTGTCAGCGATAACACCGTCTGCTCTTCGATCAGTGCAGCTTCATTCTGTTAGCCAATCTGCAGATCCACAAATTACTTACACTACAGACCAGGAAACACCAAGTGTAACAGAAACTGCTACAAGACCCAAATGTCCTCCTAGTGCTTCTACTCTGGCTCCGCCACCTCCTAACACTAGGCCTCTCCCTCCTCGCAGACCTCCTCCTAGACCACCAGGTCACGAGCACACCTCCTCCCCTGAGCATGCACAACCAACACCTCCTGGCCGTCATCCTGATGGGCCTCCATCTTATGAAAGCCTGCTACTTAGACAGGACCGCTATGGACCTGGAACTTTCTGGGCTATGACTGCCTTCCGAACCCGAATGGACCCATCATCAGACCTCTCTGAGGACAGCTCACCTGTGCATCGACCTGTCCCACGTGCTCCCCATCCATCTCCTGTGGATCTACACACACATATCCATTCTCATAGAGAGTTCAGAGGGCTCACCCACTCATCTCGTGCACATCCTGAGTTTAGGGTTTTAGGAGAACGCTCCTTCTCCCAGGATGATGATGATGATGAAGATGAAGAGGAGGAAGAGGAAGAGCACGTGAAAGAACCCCCTAGACCTGTATGTCCCAGAGGAGGTATGCGATCAGATCATCCTCCACCCCCAGCATATGAGTTTGCTGGGGGATCCCACTCAGACTCAGGGCCCTGGGCTAGTCCAATCAAAGTGCCTGGTACCACAATGGAGACATTGCATTCTTACCTAATCAGTGACCCAAGAAATAGAGGACACGAAGAACAGGAAGAAGAGGAGGAAGTGACATCAGGTGCTACCAGAAGTGCCCAGCAACAACAGCCACAGGAAAGCAAAGATGACTCCACGACTCCTGACACTGAGGATTACTTCAGTAAAGGTATGTTTCTAAGCAAAATACCACTTCCAGAAGAAGTAGGGTATTATTTTGTAAAAAATAAAGAAAATCTCACAAAATGCCATGATGTTTATTAATATTAAGCTGTTGTATCACAAAACAACATTAAAATTCTAAAAAAAAAAGGCAGTTTAAGGGATGGCTATTTCATCAACTGTATACTAAGTGATCAGACAGCCAGATGACATGTGTTAGGGATGTTGTGTGCTACAGATTCCACACCCAGTGATAATTCGCTCTCCCCTCTGATGGATGACACCAAAGTGGATGATGACATCATTCTCACGTCACCCAATAAGACCCGGACAACTGAGGACCTGTTTGCCATGATACACAGGTACTGGTCAATATACTTAATTACAATGTCTATGCAGTGTTTGTAATATATCTATTTTCTAGATTATTTTTTGTACTGACTCTGCTACATGTTTATGTTTTCTGTTTATTCCTTGTCTTTACTTTAATTGTGACTGTATTGTGATTTCCTTATTTAGATCCAAGAGAAAGGTCCTGGGTCGTAAAGATTCTGGCGACTTAAATGCTAAGTCTCGTCTCTGCCCTCCAGTACCAGTGACCCCCAGCAACGTGTCCACCGTCATTATCCCTCCAGCACCTCCTCTCAACATTCCAGCTACCTTAGCCACTGCTGTTGGGTCACAACGAGCCCCTGTACCAATCTATCGCAGCGCCAAGAAATCAAGTACGTCGAACGAGGAATTTAAACTCTTGTTGTTAAAAAAGGGAAGCAGAACTGATTCCAGCTATCGCATGTCAGCTACAGAGATTCTGAAAAGCCCTATTACCCCTAAAACACCAGGGGAGTCTGTCCAGGAAGGGCCCATTAGACAGGGAGAGGAGCCACCCTCTACGCTCCAGGAGAGCCCCATTTCTGGCCTCGACCCAATCCAGATACCAGGTCTTTTTCCCAGAGCCAACTCTGAGAGTTTTGCATCGAAAACCCTGCCTATGTCAGCTGCATCTCGACAAGGACGTTCTCGGATACCCCCTGTAGCCAACAGTAGTCGCTACAGTACACGCAGTCGCCTCTACACAGCCCCCATGCAAGCCATTTCTGAAGGGGAGACCGAGAACTCAGATGGGAGCCCCCATGATGACAGATCATCCTAAAGCCACCCGATGCGTGATGTCCTCTATTCTTAGCTGTGCCCTGCATTTCAAACGGTCCCTTCTACTTTTCTTGGATGGCTGTGTCATCAAGGCCAATGGTGTAATTCTTATGACACACAAAATCTGACTGTTGCAGAAATAAATCCGGTTGTGGATATTTTATTCTATACAAAGGTGTCAAACTGTTGTGAGGATTTGAACCATAAAGGTTATGAAAAACTATGAAAAAATAGTGTATTAAATAAATAATTCCCTCATCGAAAAAAAAATGCAAGACTTATTTTGATTGAACTATCTTTTTAAAAAAATAACGAAAGAAAGAAATAACGAGTTCAAAATGTTTGAAAAATTATAAAAAGAAATTTTGTGGAGTGTAGACAAGGTGCGTTTGTGTTTGCATGAGCAAGCACATGCAACATCCACTGATATTTCTACTTCTTGTGTTGTGAATGATGTGGGTGTGTGTATGTCATTGAGGAACTGCTTTCTTATTCAATTTAAAAATTCTTATGACAATTAATATTCTTTTAACTTGTGGTGCCCAAAGCATCAACTTCCTAGACTCCATATTCAATATTCCTGCCAACCAGCAAGGTTTGTCTCATTGTGGAAGTTATCTCTCAAAACAGCATTGACTTATTAGACTGGATTTCCATCTGCAGACCTGGCATAGAGAGTATATCACACAGAGCCAATCATATATTTCTTCACATAAATTATATCCAAAAAGATGACATGATGCATGTATTTTTGTAAAATTGCTTCTCAGAACATGATGATAAAGTTTCACCATGTTGCATGAACCTATATGGAAACATCCCCTGGATCCTGGTTTCTGTTGACATTTTTGTGGTTCTTTTGTATTATATGAATCTTTCTCTGCAGAAAGATTTGGTTGACATTTGTACCACATTGCCGGTGATCTAAACTGATTCGTCTTGGATTTGAGTGTTTAATAAGAAGGAGCAAGGGCTTGCGCCTATTTGTCTAAGATACATGCTAATTCTGGACAATCGCACAGTGGCCTTTCTCTACCAGAGGTGGTTTTAAGCAGGGAATTTGTAAATCTCTGCATGTATACATGGAGCTGTGCCATGTTTCACCAAAAGTCAACCATGAACCCAACCCTGAAATCTAGTATGCTTAGACTGATTAAAGATTTTCCAGCTGCTGGCCAGTCTTGCTGTGCTGACTTAAGTGGAAAAAAAGGTACATTTCAACCAGATTTAAATACACCACTGAGTGCAGATGGTGAAAATGCTTTAGATGGTTCTCAATCGGTTTGACTAGAGGTTCATTTGGAAAGGTATCAACTTCGCTTTTGCACTTCATGATTATTCAAGAATATTCCTTGAAAAGAAAATATATCTTATAGTGAAATGCATATGTATATTTGTACTGAATATAAAGAAAACTCATATCTATATAAAATGACAAACAGAAATTTTATAAGGAATCAATCTGAGTGTAGCAAAGAACAGGTCTCACTGAAAACATAACACATAAATCTTAGCAATGTACACTGTTCTCCTCTCCTTGTTGCCTCTCCTTCATTTGCACTGACCCAGTGTAGCATTAGACAGGTGAAAGCTCAACCCAGTGTCAGGTGTACACCATTTTGTCTTGCACTCCAAACCTCATATATTTCAAAATCTGAACATAAGGAGGCAAGAGGAGGAAAGGACTGCATACATCCAGTGTTCAACAGTCAGCAGGGTACTGATTGCCTCGCTGCAGCCTTTTCTCTCCCACACCCGGTTTCGAGTGTGCTGTGAACTCTCTCTCATCCTTCAAATAAACATTACACAGTGTTTTACAGAAGCAAACTATCATCAGTGGAAAGCTTGAACTCTCACCTGCCTACCACAGCAAACGCAACACATACACGTCTTACATTCAGAGACCGTACTTCAATTGAAACCACTCACTGTATTCTGTGAATACCTCAGCAAGCATATTACTGTTTTATTGTAAATGATAGATAGATAGATAGATAGATAGATAGATAGATAGATAGATAGATAGATAGATAGATAGATAGATAGATAGATAGATAGATAGCAAACCACAACTGTTTGATACTCAGCGAATATCAATTGCAGAACTGACACTGTGTAAGATGGAGAGAGTAAAAAGCTGTGAACTGATTACTTTGACATTTATCATACTCATACTGCTGAAGCGCACCTGTTCCTGTTCACTGTTTTATTTGTTGTGTTTTCTGTCGCATGCAATAAGCAACAGTGGGGGGGGGGGGGGGGGGGGGGGAAGGACACCGCCAAATCATTATTTTTATCTGAGGGATGTCTCCATGAGAAGAGATTTTTGTATTTTCTGTTCAAACGTCAAGTTCAATAGTGTGTTCTATAGATGTACAAACTGTCTGGCTAATTCTGTTCTGTATAGTCGTGATCACAAACAGGGGTTTATCTTGTACTGTATATCTACTCACTGGACAATCATAGGTTATAAGAGACTGTAAAGAAAATTATCTAGAATCTGCTGGGAGGGAGAAATCTGAACACTTTCGGTGCTGGGTCCTAGTCCTGGTGGAGCTGTGAAAGTGAGAGAAATATTTTCCAGGAGAAACTTCTGATTATGTTTAAAGTGCATATGTGTACACGCCAGTTTCAATACAATGTACAAATAAAGAGTAAGCAAGGAAAAACATGAATTCGTAAATACAAAAAACTAGTTTGGATTTGATCAGAGTGTCACCATCTACTTTTGACTAATAGCTAAATATTTTGTTTCCCACTAATATTATTACTGAATAACTGAAATAAAGAAATAAAATCATTTGTAGGGCTGTAACAGTATTAAATGAAAAATGCAACGCGACTGTGAATTGCCATGTGAAATTCTCCAAACACTCAGTATTTGATCAGTTAAGTATTTGGCCTTTAGTTTAGTTTGTGATTTTTCCGTACTGTACCTGGCACTGATGCCTTAAAGGTATTCCAAGACTGTTTCTTTTATTTGTAAGGAGTGGACAGAGGGGTTGACACATTTTGTAAGAAAGAGAAACTCTTGAGGTTGCCATGCAGACTCTAGTTTAACACTCTTTTCGCCCTCTAAAACCTCAGCAGCTTGGGAATACAACAAAACAAGAATCTGTAACCTTTATGGATTTTTTTTTCAATCTGTTTCCAATATCTGCACGCAAGGGGAAGTTTGATGACAACCACTTGATATTTTTATTCAGAAGTGTACAGTATGGAATAACACTAAACAGACTTTTAAAAAAAAGTGACATAGAGGAGAAAAAATAAACACTGAAAACAAACTGTAAGTATTTAAAAGATGCTCCATGCTTAAAACTAGCTAGGACTTATCAGATTTGAATCACTTTTGTATTTTTGTATAAAAATGTAAATACGTTTTTAAAGGAAAAAAAATGTTGCAAATTCTTTCTTTTGTAAAATAAACAAATAAAAAAATTAAAAACAAAGAAAGTTTTTTTTTTTCAAAGTTTACATGATTATTTCCAAGCCTTTGTATATTATGGAGCTGTGCAACACCTTCAGTCTTGTATTTATTTTGGGGGGACAACATTGTGAAAATTCCATTACTCTATATCTAATTCATTTTAACAGCTCATCGGGCTGCTTAGTAACTGTGCGTAGAAAAAAAGCCAATAAATGTGATTGCAATGAAATGAAAGGCCTATTGTGTGACACTTCATTTCAGCCCCGTCAGATCCAAAAGCACTGAGAGACTCTTCCCACTAGATGGTAGTGTTTTAACGTTCAGGCTCCTAGCTGCTATTCAGATTTTTCATGAGAAGGACCCAGCATTAACTAACTTTCCTTCACTATGGTTGGACCTCATGCTTGAATCCAGTCATACTAAATTAGGTACTGATACTTAGACAGTCTTCATTTTAAAATGTAAGGAGTAAAAAAAAGAAAAGAGAAAAGAAAGAAAAGAAACATTGCCATATCTGTTCTGACCAGTAAACCTGACCACACTTTCCATACAACAGACCTTGAATATTTAGTTACTAACCCAATGCAATAAACCGGCAGTCTCAGTCTCGAGTCTGCAAATGACTATTAACACAGCCGTGAAGAAAAATATTAAATTTTTAATAAGAATCTTAGACTAAAGGTGATGTACACAAGCTGAGATCATTTAATCAAAATTTGCACTTGTTCAAAAGATTTTGAAAGAGTAACTCAATACATTTACTGTATTTTTCGTTTGTTTGCTGGTTTGTTTTTCGGGGTATATAATTGTACATTGTCACGTCTCAAAATCTACCAGTTGTTGCCTACTGTCCATATTTACAGTGTCTCTGGTTATAAAGAAATACATGCATTATGTTATTTTATTTATCTGTTTAAAGAGCTTTTATTTTCTCCAGGGTTTTGTGTTGTTTTTTTTTTGTCTTCTATCCCTGGTCCACAAATAGCCTGCTAATTATTGAATAAATAATTAATATCTTATCTCTCTCTCACTCAGACTCCATATATTACCCATTTTCAGTCCCTCCAGCTGCTCCTTTCACATTTATGAAGCTGTTAATAACTAATCGTCATGTCTTTATGTAGCTATAGTTACGATAGCTTAGCTATCTGACAACTACAAAGAAAGTTTGAAAAAACAAACTGTGGCCTTGGAAGGGGTATTACCACCATTTATATACCACCTTTATATACCACCTATTTACAATTACTGTTTCAAAGGTAAATATTATAGTTTTACTTTCACAACGAGTTATAGTTGCTTCTAAATCTCATACTACAGCACATTTTGTCAGTGAGTGCAGTGTGAACTGAACTTTCTCTTAGGGACCCAAGTCTCAAACAGCTCTTTGTTTACATATCTTGAAGCTAGCTGTTAGCCTCTGCAGTTAGCTAATGGTTAACTACCCATGTGCTCCTTCCTAACCAACCCCCGCCGTTACGTTATGTACTTAACAATTTTCCCTTTACACAAAAAAATAAATGAAATAAGATGATTTAAACTTTAAAAAAAATACCCGTATTGACGAGAACTATACACTGACACTGACTACTTCAGCCCAACTGAATTAGACGGTAACATAAAAAAAATAAATACATACATAAAAACACTCGATATCATTAATTTTCTCAGTGTGATTTATGAATGTTACGTGATTACTAACACGCAAAACAGACACATCACCTGTCGGGGCACTGTTTGGGTTCAATCTGAGTGTAGGAACACTCGACGTCGTCAGGACTTAAGCATTCCCATTTTAGCGACCATGTTTAGCATATGCGTGTATTTCTGTTTGCAGTTTCCAGCAGCAATGTGAATTGAAT